ATTGGTGACGTTTTAATGGTCATCAGAAAGAGAATTCGCGAGTAAAGAAATTGTGTTTTGGTCGAAATTTCAATATCCTTTTTTTTAAAATCAAAATTTTATGCGTGTAAATAAATAAAATAAAAAGTCAGTAAATTTCAATGAATTTGCATATTTATATATATTTTATAACCCCAAGATAGCAATTATTATAATATTTAAAAAGTTTCCAAATACTGAATTTGAAAATTACCTTTAAGCCATGGCAGACTTTTGGTACGCAATTATACTTTTCGAATATATCACGTGTACTTTCGTTTAATAAAAGCGCATTAGCAATGCACGTAAGTGCTTCTTGCGCCACGGGAGTATCGGTCATGTCATTTGATAAAAGTGATGCGTGATATAATAATATTAAAAATCCCTGTAATTTTTATTAATCAATAAACAAAACATTGCGATGTTTTAATTAAATATTAATGATAAAATAAGGTTTCACCTTATCTGAAAACAATAATTCACACCCATTCACATCGCGACCTAATGTCTTTAAAGTTTGTAATGCTAGTAATCTTACTGTATGTAAAATTTGAATTCTTAGATATCATCCTGGTATTATTTATCTGTCTCATTTGTATTGTTGATTTTCACAATACCATCATCATTCCATTTTAGTTGAACCCCATTTTCATCAAGATCAGATAGAAGAGCAGATACAAGTTCTGATTTCTTTGATACATCGAGGGATGCTATTTCTAAAAAATAATTCAAGTTAATTCGAAAAAAAAATTCGAAAAAAAAGTTGATATTGTACCAGATGAATTGGATATGAATGAAGTCAATACAGAAGAAACGACTTCGATATTAGTTCTGTTCTCAATTAATGCATATGAACTCATATTTGCGGTATTGCAATAATTTTAAAGGGAGATTGAAAGCCAAATTCAATTGTTTAGGCTTCTTTTTATATTGTATCTAAATTGTGCTGTACAACTATGTCTAAATTATCATTTATAGGTAATGCCAAAATATTACGTGTCACACATTAATGTTGTACATTTATTATATTAACAAACAAAAGGTTCTTTGTCTTCGGTAACCCGATTTGTATAAAAATACCCATCATTTGGCTCTTGTTCATTCATTCACCCCGCTTTACACTTGTACAAAAAATATCTTCTATCGTTTCGAAACTTAATACTTTACATGCTTACCCAATTTAGCCATCGTTAAAAATTCTGATCCTATTAAATCTCACTAAATCGTTATCATCTAAAGAACGAGTGATCGTTTTTTGTGATTGCGAATAATTAATATGTCCGACAATGAAACCTCGAAGCTAATCAAATTGGTTCAGGATTCTTTTAAAGATGATCCTAAAACAATAAGGTTAGGAACGAGGGATATTCGTGAAATTCCTGTGGAATTAATAAATTTATTAGCTAAAGATAATTATAAAGTTGAAAGGTATTCATTTAGAAAAATTTTCTTGGAAAAATAAATTGATCTTATCTTTACAATATTCTTGGCTCATGATTTTTGATCTTGCTTAGATTTGGACTTGAAACAAATCATTTGTCAACTCTTCCAACAGAATTTTGTAAATTATCATATTTAAGATATTTAAACGTTTCTAACAATGCATTTAAAGATTTTCCTGAGACGGTATATTTTTCACTTAAAAAGCTTTTTTTGTTATCTAATCATTATATAAACATATATATATATAATATATATATTTATTTATTTTATTTTCAGTTATGTGCAATGCCAAGTTTGGAAATATTGGATATTAGCAAGAACAGAATTAAGAAATTACCAAATGATTTTGGAAAATTAATGTCACTGAAGGTTAACTGATTTAAGCTTATTCTTGTATGCTACTATTCTTTACATCATAAAATTATTACTTAATCATAAATTATAAATCTGATCCAAAAAAAATTCATTTTTTAGTTATTGAAAATATCCAAAAATTTAATAAGAATAATTCCTAATTATATTGCGGATATGAAAGATTTACAATATTTAAAAATTGATAATAATCCAATTCGTTTTCCACCAAGAGCTATTCATATAATGCCAAAAGGTGATGAAAAAGAAGTCATGATAAGTTGGTTAGCTAAACTAAAAGAATATTTAAGACACACAGGTATGTTTCTTTTTATTAGATGAATTCAAATAATTTTAAGAATATTAAATATTTTATTTTATATAGTAATTAAAAATCATGAAATGGAAGAAAGTGATAATTCCAGGTTTGTCACTATATGATCATTCATTTGCTTATCTTATTTATAATTTCATCTTTTAATATATCAGTGTATTTTATTTAGTGATAGTGAAGAGGAAGTTTATCAAGATGAAATGACAAATAATAAGCTATTAAAAAAATCTTCTTCAGTTGATAGTATTAACAATCTGGAATCTAATTTGGATTCACGTATAACTAGTGAAAATTCAAATTATTTAAATACTATAACCGAGGATGAACAAGTAACCTCTAAATTTGAAAAGAAAAAAGCAAGTCCTAAATTAAGTATAGATTTACCTTCACGTCGTGATAGAAGTTTTAGCAATGACTTGGATCTTGCATTAATGAACTCTCGTAACACTCCTATTCGAGCACATTCAAAAAGCTTTTCTCATACTCATAATTCTCCAACAAATTCTCATGCAATTTTGGAGGAGCGTAACAGTGAATTTTATTTTCAAAGACTTAAAACTCTTCCTCCGACTGAACATCTTAGAATGAGTGATATCTCTTTGAGGGAGGCTAGTCGAAATATCTTATACGCGTTGTCTCAAGTGCATAAAGCTTTACGTCAATTTGTAATTTTTACCGGCAATGAAAAGATATTTACTGTTGATCTTAATAAGACTAATCACTCAATAGGACAATTATGTACTGCATTACAAAAATTTGACAATTTTGCTTTGCAAGCAACAGGAGATGCTGAGCATTTGGTCAAATTACTTAGTGCATGTCAAGAAAATATAGCAAATTTCAAAGTTCTTTTGGATCTATTGAATAAACATCTTAAATATTTAACTCAACCTTCTGAAAATTTTCGATATTCACGAACCCTTCTCTTAATGTTTCATGGTGCTACTGTGGACATTAAATTTGCTTGGGAAAATATCTCTCCACTTTTGAATAATAATACTCCTTTTACAGGTTCTTCAACACCTATGCGATCAAAATCAATGTCACGTTCAAATAGTAGTAGTAATCTTAATGGTATTCCTCATTCTTCTGCGTCTGTAATTAATGGTTCCTCAAGCAGTGTTAGTACTCCGTCTACTGCTGGAATGTCTCCATCTTCTTCTCTTGGTCCATATTCTGCTGGTTTGATAAATAATTCTTATACGGACATTGCATTACCAATTTCAATATTTGACCAAATGCTTTCAAAGGTTGATGCTGCTATCAAGTCTGTGGAGAATGTTGGAAAACATTTAATCGATCAATTAGACATTGCCATTGGAACATCTGTAGATGAATATTCTCCCGCATTACCTGTGAAAATAAAGTTAAAAGAATTAAGATCACATGTTAAAAGTGTATTGGATGTAACTAAGCAATTGAAAAAATCTCGGTTGGCTGTAAAATTGACACAAAAAGAAGATTTGAGTATACAACTTAAAGTTTATGATGCCACAATCATATTCCTTCAGGTAAACATAATGTATAAATAATTATCTATTAACTTTATCGATCTGATTATTAATTTGGTTACTGATTAATTTATTGTTTGAATTTTATTACCGGCATTTTAACAGGAAACTGTGAAAATGTCTACATTAGCCAAAGATATTTCACAAGAATGGCAACTTAGTAGTAAAGTTATGACAGGACTAGGCCTTGTCACTAAATCTAATATCGAATTGACTGATATTCTTCGAGCAATTGAAGAATGGCTTGTAATGCCGCCATCTTCACTATC